TGTGGGCGCCGGCATTTACCATACCAGGCGAACATGGTAAAACCCCCTACATGCCTCTGGGCATCAATGGTATGGCAGGTACCGACGTCTACCATACCAGAAGAAGACGAGGCAACCTCCCACATGCATCTAACATTAACAGTGTTATGGGCACCAACAATCATCTTGTACCCAACGGCGTGGGCAACAAGACTTAGCATACGCACACTCTCCCTCTCTCACTTGTAAGGTCATCCCCTTCATCTATAAAAGGGGTTGCGCTCTCTCCCAAAAAGGAGATCGATTAGTTCACTCACACACCAGAACAAGAACCACTAGGTTCAAACCTCGAGCACACGCTCGAACACTTAGCACATAGCGGAGCTCCCGTCACTCTCGGCCCTTCATACCAGAGTCCAACCAGACCTCTTGCACCACCCATCTTTCTCCCTTCCATTTGTAAACCCAAAGCAAACTTTGAGCACCTGGGCTCAGGAATAAAGTCACCGACCGACTCAAACTGGACGTAGGGCACGTTGCCTGAACTAGTATAAACCCTGTGTCATTGAGTGCTAGGCCACATCCGATCACAACGTACGGCAAAACTACAAATATTTATGTGTTGGTCACTTTCTGCATCGACAAGTGATTAGGTTAAGTATTTAAAGATAGTTTGTTTAGGTTACTTGCTTAGCTCAGATTGTTAGAATGGTTGAAGTTCATGTTTAGGTTGGTTTGTCTAATAAAGTGTCTTATGATATTAATGGAGTCTTACTATTATTATCTGCTCTCTATTTCTACCGGATATGTGTTTTGTCTCCATATGTTGCGCATAAAGGTATGTAGGAAAATAAGTGTGGGGGACACACCTTGACAACAAGACGGAATTCGATCGCAAAAATAATGAAGTTCGGAAAGTAATGAGCGAACGACCACGTCCTACGAAGCGGGCCTTGAGCAGCCCCTGGAGCAGGCTGCCCGACCTCCTCTATGGGCCGGCTGGCCCATCACTATGCCGTCTCGCCCCAAGTTTTGTCCTTAGTCAGGTTCAAGCCCAATACACTCTATTTTTGTATGTTTTGCTTTCCGTTTCAAACAAAATTGAGAATCCTTTGATAAACAACTTTAAAACTTAAGGATAGACTCACATAATACTTTTCCTAGAAGTCTTGCTATTGTTGGGAACTTATTATTAGGGACCCCATGTTACTTAAGTTGTTGTGGAATGAGATATAGTAGAATAACGAGAATCTTGATATCTCATTATTGGAGAATTTTATTTTAAAAAAAAGTAAAAAGAATAGCTATACCTCTCCTTTGTGGTAAGCAATGTCCTACCAGAGCCAAATATGGACTAGAGAAACCTTCTACATATACTACTTGTGAAGCGAACCGGGATTTCAAAAATGAAATTCTGACTCTCTTGCCCCTCTGTGATAGTCCCAGGATACCTTAGCTATCATAGGTGTCCACCTTTCAGATGATTACAAAGTCATACAACACATCAGAGTACAAAATTAAGCCTATTACATTAATCTAGTTACATGCCCTCAGGACTAAATCAAACAAAACACAGGAAATCTAATCGTAGCAGCAAACCTTGATGAGTCTTCAATCCACAGGCGTCCTTGAGAGTAGATCCGCAAACCAACTACCAATCTCAACACCACTGCAAGTCAAGAAATCTGCACACCACCAGATATGTGTAGGCCATGGTCAGCACCGAATGAGCTTTGGTGGAAAATAGAAAATAAAGGGATCTGGTGATCCTACTAGTTTGGCTGTAGTTTGCATCCTTAGTGCATGCAGAAAAGCATCAAAAGTAATAATATCTTCTCAAGTCCCAAACCACACTCTCATTCTCACCATCCACTCAACATCATCACAAGTCACCACTCATCATCCCTCACAACACCCTCAATCTCTCAGTCTAGTCGACGAGGCGGCCTCCGCACACCGCTCGTCTAATCGGCCTCAGACCGTACCTTAGCTTCGGGGGGAGAAAAGCAAGCACAAGTGAATCTAGTGAGCTGAACCCTACACACAGGTAAGTGGTCATATCGGAGATTGCGGCTATATGTGTAGATTATTAACCTCTATAGAGAGTACACTGTTACCCCACATGAACACCACCGATGAATCACCATCAGTGATGAACACCGCCACCACAAACTAGGCCGACTAACACCAGTTCTGTCCACCAGCCGGAGCAAAGATATATAGATGCCACTATATAAGTTGGGGTTGTGTCATCGAGGTGTCACGGTGTAACCCCCGCCCTCCTAACACTAGTTCCACAGGGCCATCGACCACGTGCCTACTCACTTCCACAGAGACTGACGGTCGCCTGCACTACATTGGGCAACGGGCCCCTTCCCCGTTTATCATGTGGTGTGCACGAAATTAGCCCATGATTTATGGCTGCAACTTACGTCAGTCCTTAGGTTAGCCAGAGCGAGCACCTTCCACCAATCCATGTGCCCTCAGAGCATTAGACCCACCCCTCAGTGGTGGTCTATCCACAAACTCCTCATCCCAATGCCCCTTGGGGACCGTATGACGTCCCTCCAGGACTCTGTGTTGCCGCCACAGGAACTACCCTTGGAGCACTCCGTACACCAAGCAACCTCTCACTCTAGCCAGTATCTGTATCTCCAAGAATTAGGTCAAGGGCAAGGAAAATCTCTAGAACTCCTCGCATCACCACCACCCACTCGAGATTCACCTCTCCCATCGTGTATCAAACCATATACCTCTTAGGATTGCCTCGCGGCTCAACCCCATCCACCATTCACATCATCCAACATCCATCACACATCACATAACAAGGAATATATGTAATTATGATGGAGTAAATGCATGCAAGCAGGCAGCCATATATAAGTGTGAGCGCGGAGCTGGGTAATCTAGAGGAAGTGGTTTCAATCAAGGCAATCAAGGCTCAAACAAAAGCATGCATAACATATTCTAGCAAAGGAACAAATATAAAGCGCTAACAGTTTCTACTTTGCAATGCCTAATAGGATTCTCTAAGAAAAAGGTGATGCCATGACACCTGTGGTGTAGGGGAAGTAGTGGTATGCATCTCCGAAAGTCATTGTCATAGATCAATGGGAGTCTCCTTCTCCATATGAGCTCAAATCATCGCTACGCAAAGAAAAAGCCGAGAACGACCACCAATAACAAGCAATAAAACCGCAACAAAAACATATCGGTGGCGCGGCGCAGGGCGGCCTCGGGGTGGCCTCGGTGGCACTCGGCGGGCTCGGGGAGCGGGGCGGGTGCGGTGGAGTGGCGCGGGCACGGGAGCAGGCGCGGTGGCGCGGCGCGGGCGTGGGCACGGCGCGGGCGTGGGCGCGGGCGCGGCGCGGCGCGGTCGAGGGCGACCGGTGGAGGCGCGGGCGGCGGCGGCAGCGGGCGAGGGCGGTTCTGCTCTGCTAGGGCGAGAGAGGGAGAGGAAGAGAGGCGCGGGGCCCATAGGTAATAAAGGCTCGGCGCCAGTCACTCTGGCACCGAGCTCGGCGCCAAGATCTACGGCGCCGAGCTCGGCGCCATAGTGACTGGCGCCGAGCCCCCTACCATGCCATCTACCGAGCCTAGGAGCTCAGGGCCAGGGACGTTGGCGCCGAACTCGGTGCCAGCATCGATGGCGCCGAGCTAAGGGTCCATTTTCTGAATTCTTTCCGCCAGGGGTCTATTTGTGAGAAACTTTCAAAAAAAGGGCTAAAATATAAAAAATTCGGTTGCAACATCGGCCCATCCCAATTCATCTCATGTAAATATATGTAGTTCTTAGAGCTTCTCCCAAAGTTTTCCTATCTAACCTCTTAAAGTCAAAATTAAGATTTACATGATGAAAATCATCCTCAACATTTCCCTATCCAACATCCTATATTTAGGGTATCCTAAATTACCCTCTCTCTTCCTCAAATTTGGGGCGACATGTTTTTTCACTCCATATGTTATTTATGATCGAGGAATTATTGGAGAAGAGAAATGTTTAGGGAATATTTTTTGGGTTAAGATACACATATATGAGAATATAAGAGAATTAAGTTTAGGACTCTTGGAGATGCTCTTGTCCCTAAACACTATGTTTTGTTATAAATTCAACCATTCTGGTATCTGTCCACTAGCCCAGCCCTAGGTGGAAACCATTTGTGGATTCGAGCTGCATGTGGCCTTTATCTCAAAACAGGGCCCCTCAAAAAAAACATCTCAAAGGGCCATGCAAATCTGTGGATGGAGCACAATAAAATTTAACATACCCTTTATATTTCGAATTTACGATCTTACGTACATATCAACAGTGTCAATCAATTAAGAAATAGACGATGACCAAAATTTTCATGCAACTTAACCGCGTTCAGCCAACCATATATGTCTAAATTGCGCCAGGCAGCCACAACACAGCATGTGGATTCAGTCTGTAGGTGGGTGTTACGGTTGAGCCAGGGGTAAAGCAGTCAATGTACAAATGAATTTCAGCTGAAAAAAAGAAGAAAAACAGATATGGAACGAAAACGATAATGGCATACTGTTATTATGCAGCAAAAGCTCTTTCGATGGAAGCCCATGGACGCAGAGCTGAGTAGTGGTGTGGTATTCTGCACCTTCCAAGGGATCAAATATCAAAGGCATCCTAACGTCCGCTAGGAAATGGAACTAAAGCAGCACTGCAGCAGAATCGAACTCAAGTGTTGGCATAGCAAGGAAGCGAAACTGGCATTCTAAAAACTTGCTCTATTCAAATCCAAAGAAACAAATTAGCTCGATGCAGGTGTATGTAAGCAGAAATGCGATTCTTAGAAACTCCTCAACCTGACCGGAAATATGTACTTCACCGAAATGCATAAACCCCGGGTCAAAAATGTTTTCACCTCAGGGTCATTTTCCTCAACATCCTGCATTTTATCACAAGGTTTACCATCCGATCGGACTTTCTTACAACGGTGTTACCACTTACAACCAACAGGGTTTCCACGTTTGCATTGTTAACTTAGGCCTTACCAGTTCCTGCGCTACATCCGAGGGATGTGCAGTGGACGGAAGGACGAGTCGTCTGGCGATCTATTCTCTGGTGGTGGCAACCTGCCAACGCCACCAATCCACTGCCCAGACAGCCTCCTTGAAGCAGATGCAGCAGGCTCTAGTGCACCTTGAGGGGGCTGTTGTTGTGAAGAGCTCCACCAGGTACCTTCATTATTAACAGGCATCAGCGGGTAAGGAGCCAGGCGATCCCTCTCCCAGGCGTAGAACTGGTTTGCTCTGACATCATCAGTCTCCATTGTACTGGGGCCTGATGAAGCTGGTGGGAACAGGCAAAAGGAGGTGTTCTCCGGAGGTGGCACGGAAGGCCCAACAGCTCCCAATGGACGCATGCCTCCTGATTGCTGTGACCCAGCAAATAAGCTAGAAGAAGTCTGCTGGAATTGATCGTTTAAGTTGCCAAGCGCTCTTATGAATTGTGGTGCCATAGGAGGAACACTTGGGATCCTTGGTCTTCCAGACCTGCAACAAACCAAGAATACGTTTGTAGCCATCACGGGATCTAAGACTGTTGTACAAGAAAGCAGGCATACTAGATAATGCAACAGTAGTTGCATAACTACTTTGTTATTACACAGTCGATGATGTCATTGATGTAGACCAAGATGAAACAATCATATCTTCAAAAAATAAATAACTTCGAAGAAAACCAGGGCATGCCTGGATCCCTAATTTCCAGTTCTGGGTACCAGCCAGTGTAGCCTTCCCTCATTACTCACACTGGAATGTCGGCATCTGAAGTACCGAATAAACCACACTACTGGTCCAAACAAAACTATATCTATACCCATACTTAGTTATAGATACAAATGGAAATAGCCATCCAATCAGATAGGAATGCTAAGTACACAAAACTCCTATGAGTATGTACTCCCATGTGTCTAGCAAAGCATGTATATTCCTTATGTGATTAAATATGAACAAAAATTATGGAAGACTAATATAGTTTGGTTACTAGACTAAATCATGTCAAGTGTAAACTCCTAGGACCCACAACAGTCAAGCGAGTTTCCTTGTGCCTTGATTTCGAATAAATTTGCCATCTTGGGCCTGCTGTCCATCCATGGCATCCACAACCACCGTTTTTCTATACATGTTTTTAACTACATATTAACAATCCAATTGTACCTAAAATCAATCCTTCAAATCAGTAAAAGCCCTGTATGTATTTCATGGTCCACATGCACATGAGCAAATCATAGCATAACAAATGATGACAAGAATCATGAATCTGCCTTTCTGCCTAACTGATAAAGCTAGTTTTACGTACAGAACTAGGTCATGTCAGCCAGAACATCACAAACCAATGTCTTCAAATATAGGATCTTACCCATTTCCATAAAATGAGGAGAGAGATCCTCGTTATTGGCTTTCACTATCAACCCCTCCAACCCTCATTGCCCCCAGAGGGAGTCCTTGCTGCTCAGCTATACCGTTATCATTGTTGGGTTGAGAATAGTACGCCCAGGGTCGTCGGCCATCTGATAGCCCAGCCATAGTGTTCCAGTGATCATGATATGCAGCACCATCCGTTGTTCTCTCAGCGACATGGGAGCTTGATGATGCCGGTGGCAGGGCAGGCTGAAAATAAGCTAGATATGGACCAGGATGAGGTGTGGCAGGTACTGGTACTATGGGCTCAGAGTTGAATTGCCCCGTGAAATCATTAACTGCATTGGCAATATTCCAAAACTTTCAACCACGACAAATATGATTTGGTAAATGGAAGATTAATAAATGTCACTATTGAAAATAAGAACTTACAAGTAGCTGGAGCAGAGGACTCTACTTCTCTGTTAGATGAGGAAAAAATTAACTATGAGTAAATAGAATAATAGCTAATATAACAGTAATTCTATCATACAAAGACAAAAAACAAAAGGTGGTTCTTTTAAAGCGAGAGGCGTCATCGGAACTCTGTAGTCTCCCAGCATCAAAAGCATAGACGAGCACAGACAACTAAGCACTAATACATTAACTAATATTTGAGACATATAGCATTTCAATATTAATATGATTGGTGAAAAGAGACATGAGGAAGTGCATGCTGTTACAGACTTTTGAGGTGATCCGAATCACAGTCTAATCAAGGTTCTAAAACAGTGGCACTAAGGATTCCAGCAACTGATGGCACAATAAAGTTCAGAAAACTGCATTAGATTTCTAGAAGCAGGTCACTGAAGGATACCTGCTGCAGTGATGTAGTGATAAATATCAACTAAAACTCACAGTAGACAAAAAAATAGTCTCAACCATGTAGTAAAAGGAAAAATTGGACACAGCAACGAGCAGAAAAATTCAGAGGTCAGAACATACTCAAATAAGGATGGAAGTTCTAAGAGCCCAATAGGACACCACTGAATGCGAAGAGGCTGCATAAACAGTCAAATCAGATAAGCAGGGTTATTATTTTAGTAAGTTAATACCTCTTTTAGTAAAAAATAGTACCATAAAGGTGATATTCAAAGTGTATGCAAGATAGCTGTAACTTTAGCCAGTAATGCCTGCTAATACTATATGTACTCAACCTCATAGTAACTTTGCAATATTTCTTATACTAAAAAAAATGTTTCTGCTATATACTCTAATAAGCTAGGATCAATGCCCAGTCCCAGTGAAGAAAGCCCATAAAAACATATGCAAAAAATTGATAATCTTTTAACTCCTGTTGACACCAAAATTTGACACGCTTATCCTGGAAAGGAAGGAATCGGCCGATAGTGTTTTGAGTAACATGTTTTTGGTTAATCGGCCAAGATAATAAGTTTCTAATGCTTTTGTGGCCGATTTGAGGTTGCTCGTAAATGTGTGCCAGCCAAGATCTACATACATAGAAGAAAGATACATCGGAGGTTGAGCGACGTCGATGCACAGTCCATTTGTTACACGAAGACAGAGTCCAGACGGAAGCAGCTTTATTTGCCGAGGACGTCCATGCAAGGAAAGTAAAAAGGGCTCGATCAATATTGATTTGATTATGTCCGGCGTGAGAGGCAAACATGGAAGATAAGATGGCTGGGCTGCATGTGTGTGAGTACATGAAGAAACTAAGGCAAAGCAAAACCACAATATAGAAAGATATACATGAGGCCGGTGGTTGCTTGCTTTGGCAAAAGAAGTTACATGCACGTAGGATCGGGCAAGGAAGGAATATATGAGGGCAAGGAATGAATATATGAGCAAAAGCAAGGCAAGCAAGTCCAAGAGAAATCGTCAATCTAATTTTGCATGCATGTATATATTTGCTAGAGGGAGAAATCAAGAAATATACACATATACGTATACGTGACTACATGCACGCAGTTTGTAAGGCTGCATCGGTTAATTGATCTCTTACGAATCATAATATAGATCAAAGTTATCGATCTTGTGTTAAATAACTTGTTATTTAATACAATATCACCAGTTATCGAATCTACTAAGATTAGTAAGATTTTCTTCCTGTTTTTTGTTGATTCACCAGTTATCGATCTTATTATAATTAATATTTTATTAATTATAACAAATCACCTGATTGAGATAGAGATAGAACGGCATCATATCATCTTAATTGGTTGTCCTTTGATCTGGTCACGCTTTAAATCTCGTAACTGATGACTTAATTCTGCTAGATTGGCTGTTTTATCTCTATTCCAATCAAACATAGTATACATCCAAAAACATGTTTTCAATCTTGAATAAACTCACTAGTTAATGAGATCTAATCTAATGACATTACCATAGCTGCATCGATCTGGTCGAACCTCACTGGTAAGACTTTAGATTAGAAATTATTAATTAGTGGTTTTGCTCATGATCGAGATATGTACTTTGTTTGTTTGCTATGTCTGCATCGGCTATTTTAGCCGATTGCCTGTGCTCTCACACATATAGCATGTTTTTCATGAATCTGTTGACATATAGATGGTTTTATATATTCTTTGGCTTTAGTTTGTTATCATTATCATAGTTGCGTCGATCCGGTCGAACCTCACTGTTGATGATAATATATTAGATTCAGATTATTTATGGATTCATTTATGGTAAATAGTCAATTGTTCGCGTGTTATACTCTTTTCATCAAACTTATCGGCTCAACGTTTTATACTGATCATGTTCTATTTAGCCGATGATGTTTCCTTATATTGCTTTATTGTTGGATGTCGACTCTGTAGCCGATGGCCATATCAATCGGCTATTTGGCCACATATTGAAACTGTCTGGTGCAACACCGACATGTTCCACCTTAAACTACGGATTATTCTCTCCTTGTCAATTGCAGGGTTAAATTAACTGACACGCCTTTGGTACCGAAACCGACCGTTCTTGTATTAAAGCTAAGCAGATCTTCGGGTTCACTCCGTCAAGATCGCCCGGCTTGCTGTGTGTTAATCACATCGCCACATTTTTGTGTCAACAACTCCCTTACCACAAAGGTTGCCAGCTCTGAGTGACCATGATCATAAAGGTCATCATAACCCCATTCATCATTGTTTACGTCCTGTGATGATCGGGAACCATTTGCATAAAGCCAATTCCCATTCTCAACTGTGCGACAATTGGGGCATTGCATAATTCCTTTGGCATTAAATGCTGAACCAATGCAATCTGATGAAACCAAGGGATACTAAATATTAGAGCAAATCAAGTGCCATATACACGCACAGATTACCATATACAATAAACACTTCCAAGTTCAAACAAAACAGCATCGTGGATTCAATAGGATACTAAGCAAGTAAGCATACAACAGCATGTAAAAATGGTTACATTATATAACAGTTTACTACAGATCACACAAGAAAATTTGATCCAAGGTGCAAAGATATGGACAGAATGCATCACAGGTATATTAACTACTGTTAGCAGAACTAGTTAGCAGTACTATCAGTAACTGATTTTCCCTCATCTCTTGAAGGTTTGTAACGAACATTCTTTGTCAGTGTAACTAACATTCTTTGTTAGCAACTATTATCTTACTGATAACACAGTCACTCATCCAAACCAGCATTTTAATAAACAGCAACATCGTTTTAGTGTGCATTACCTAGTAACTAGTATATTACCTAACAACATGACCATTCTTAGGCTCCAACAACAGTGTGCTATGGGATATCCTGGGCACTGACAACAGTGTGTTGGAGCTGCCCTAAAAGAAATAACTAAGAGTGGACCCAAATCGTTCTGAAACGACACCAAGTCCTTCACCAGCACTAGAATGCTAATGAGCACATCAATTTGATTTGTTTTTCCGTTTTCTTAAAACATGACCTCCAAACTAAACAATTCATAACAGAATGGCGCAATATTTCTCACAAGAGCATGTTCTAACTTTTGAAAGAGGACAAGAATCACTGACATATATACGACCAGACGAAGCCTGGACCAAATAACAACAAACCTTGATCCAAGGGCATGCTCCTACCTTGTCCCACCATAGTCACAGCATATGGAATTGCTATATAAATTCCACAGCATAACCCAATGAGGATGAACAACTTAAACCCCGACCGTGCAATTTTCATAAAAACTAGCCATGTAAAATTGTAATTGTGGTAATAATTATCACAATTCACACGGGCTCATTTAGATCATGTCCCCCAAACTGAGACCCATTCCCAAATTCCAATTTTTCCCAATCCTAGTCCACTAACAGAACCCTTAAATTCGCCACAGAAATAATTCAAGAAGCAGCCTGCCTCCGCCACCTCCCAAACACATGCGTCACCCAATCAACATCCCGTTTGCTTGGACTTGTTTGACTTATAAGACATACTTTTTCAGTCAATGAACAATATTTTTCTCATACACCAAATCAGCCAGTCATGTCTTATCAGCCACACGAGCCCAAGCAAACAGGGCGAAGCCGCTCACCGAGGCAGCGAAGCCGCTCAACGAGGCGAAATTCGTGACCACACTGCAGCCTCGCGGTGGACCTCTCCTCGCCGCCGGCGACCACCGTGTCGAGGCAGATCGAGCACGACATCACCGCCGCAGCTTTCTCCTCCCCGCCCTCGCCCTCTCCCCCTCCACCCTACCCCAACTGCTCCTCCTCCCCTACGCCCTCCTCCGGCGCTTCCTCCTCCTCTCAGACTCCTCCCTCGGCCACCATGGTTGTCTCCTCCTCATCCTCCTGGGCGCCGGCGCCCATCACGGAAGCGCTCGCCGCGTTCCCCACAACTGCGATGAAGGAGAAGCTCCGATCTTGCTCGCGCACGCACTCATGGCCCTCGCACCGCTCGCTCGATGCCACCAACGAGCTCCTCGTGCTGCGCCTCCCTCTGCCTCTCTATCGGTTTCGCGTCCACCAGAAATCAGAAGACGGGGAGGGTAATATTCGAGAGAATTGGGGTTTTCTGCCGGGGCCCTTGGATGTGTCATAATTCCAACAAGACGCCTCAACCGCCTGGTTTAGCCTTCCTTGTTTTCTACTCCTATGTATTTCCTGTATTTGACTGTGTAAGAGCATCTCCAGCAGTCCTCTTTCCTAACCCGATGAGAAAAAACTGTTATTTTGGAGGTCTTGTAGCTCCAGCAGTTCCCCAAACTTAACCCCAATGAGAAAAAGTTTTTTTTTTCAGTCCATCAAATCATAGCCTCCCACTCCTCAAATAAAGGGGGACCTCTCCTCCCCAATCTACTATTTTTCTCATTGGGGATTGGATTTTCTCATTTTGCTGAAGAGAAGACCTTCAAAATCACAAAACACGTTCTGTATCTCCCTCAATAACTAGTTTTTTGGGTTAGAGTTTTCTCCTACAGCTGGAGATGCTCTAACGCTATTGGAAATGTTTAAAATTTTGGTTGAGATAGTTATTTTATATAAAGAAATATAAAGAAAATTAATTTAAAATTCCTAATTTAGCAGCTTACTATAAAGATTTAACATATTTACCCACTGATATCGTGGTCCGACGATGATAGCCAAAGATTCGTCGCCGCAACGACGAGGCGTCGACAATGTTGTTGTTTGCAGCCACACAAACTTGTGAATGGTATGCCCCAATGGTTTACTGAGATCTTAGAGCTGAGAAGGGCACATAACTGGTGGAGTGAATATGAACATGGCAATAACAAGAACGACAAAAGGGGAAAACTAGTGGTCGAGGATGCTGGAGGTGGCGTTGAAAGCCGAGGGAGGGGTACGCCATAGAGGCAAGGGATCTCACAGGTCCTCAGGAGACGCAAGCTAGACAAAGAGAGGTATATTTTCGGAGGATGAGAAACCTATAGGCTGTCGGTTTTATAGATGTCGTCGGTCTAGGTTAAGAAGATTCTCTTAACTATGCACCCCAAATTTTTATGCAAATTGCAAGGCATAAGATAGATCCCTCAATATAGAGTCAAGGTAATAACAAATAATATATCTTTGTAGTAATATTAGCAAGTACTTGTTATGTTAAACAATGTATAGTTTACAACATCTTTCGAATATTACAGCATATTGTTAACATTATACTAAAAAGGCTTAGTAAATGCAAAATTATAAACCAGTTCAATTGCACATTGCGCAATATTTTGGTGTTAGTAAAATAATATTAGTTCCTCTATTAAACTGCTGCCTAAAAAACTTCCATAGGTGAAATAGTGGTAGTAGTATAACCAGACTTTCTAACCTACACACTGTCTGTAGTCTAGAGTAAGTAGTAAAGAACATTGCCCATCTCAAGCCATTGTTATTATATTTACTATATATAAAAAATATAGAATTACTTTTCTTAGTATTAGGTTGTGCAGGCCCGTCTCATAATTATTATTTTAAAAGCTAGGGGCGTCCTTGTAAAACTAAAATCAGAAACCGAAGCTATTAAGGCCTTGTTTGAAACACAGAATTTTTTTTTCTGTTTCTGCGTTTTCCCTGTGAAAATGAACTGATTTATATAAAATTTCTACGCAATTCATATAAAATTCATGTGTTCTAGACAGGCGCAGGTACCGTCACACAAAACGTGACCCTTCGTAGGACCAGCCCACCCACCGTAGCGGATCCTACCCGTCCATCCCGCATCCAACGCCCCCATCCAAGCCACACTCCCACCTCGGGTCACCTTGGCGTGACGTCACTCGCAGCCTCAGTAAAGCCGAGTGACGAAGTGAAGGAACGCCACCGGAGGCATGGTGGGTCATCGGCGCCCAGCTCAGCCAGAAACAGCTTACACGCTTCGAGCGCCTCCGGCCGGTAAGCACCGCGGAGGCTACACCTGTATGACATGCGGGGTCCAGACGCGGAGCGTGGCCGCTTGGCTCGGTTTGGTTTCGTTTGACCCAGGGCCTGGACGGGATGGGATGGGGCCAGACTGCCATAGCCGCAGCTGACGCAGGCCGCTCACGCGGAAGAGCCTGTTCGGCAGGACTGAAAAATAAGCAAAAATACTGTTTCAGCTGATTGTTGTAGGAAAAAAATACTGTTCTGGCTGAAATCACTGTTCACGTAAACAGTGATTCGTGAGGGGGCTGCCCAGCCAGCCGGCCGAACAGCCCCGAAGTCGGTGTGGCCTCTGCCGCACGACTGCGAGGCGGGCGCGCCTGGGTGGGGTCTGCGCCTGGGTGCCGTCAGGTGCTGGTGACGCCAGGGTGTGGCCACTTGATGCGACTCGAGTCAAACTCGTGTGTCAGCCTGTGTTGCGTGCCAGCGCCTCGGGAAAGCCGCCTCCGGCTCTGGTTTCTTTGACTGTACAGCAACTGCAGCGTGGAGATCTGGGGTCTGCGTCCGCGCGCTCCGCGGTGCAGTTTCTTCCTTCTGCAGGAGCCAGGAGACCCGTTCCGTTTCCTTGTCCCGTAACGGAAGCGAAGACCCGAACGCAGTCGATCCTGGGAAAAGGCACCGCCCGGCGGCCGGGGCCCAGCCAAGGGCAGCAGCTCTCTAGCCGGCCTGGGTGCGGACTGCAGAGCCCACGCCCTGACGACCGCAGTGCAGGTCTGCAGCAGTTGGGAGGTGCGGGCTTTCAAAGTTCGGCGCCCACCGTTCAAAATAGGTCTGCATCACGCCACGAGGAAGGTAAATCACTCTCTCACAATAGCTTAGGAAGGTTTCTCGCAAAAAAATAGCTCAGGAACGTTAATTGCACTTTATAAAAAAGCGGTACGTCTAGCGTCCGGATGTCTGGACGGGACGTCGCGTTTGGACACGGCTCCGACACATGTCTTGCCCCTGCGTTCGCATCCCACCCTACGCCCCCGCGTCCGTCGCGGGAACCCACGCCCCCGTGCCCCCACACAAGGAAAACCATATGGGTTGACCCACGGCTCCACCCCAGCAGCAGCAACCACTGGCCGCACCGTGCAACACCCCAATCTCCTTTTGCAATATTCAGATGAAACCTTTGCAACATACGTTTAAAACAGATGAAATATTTACAGTTGAAACACCATTACAATATGTGCAACATCCTGATCTACTTTCGAAACATTCAGATGCAACACTTGCAACATAAAAAAGAAAACACATAAAACACTTGACACATGCGTTTGAAACACTTGCGACATACGTATACAAGAAACAGATGAAACATCGGAGATAGACGCTTGCAACGTACATGTACAACCATTGCAACGTATGTAACATCCCGATCTGCTTTTGCAACATCCAGATGAAACAACTGAAACATACATCTGAAATACTTCAAACATGGGCTTGTAACATGTCTGAAAAGCGTTCAAAACACTTGAAAACATAGCATCGCCACGTGGCCACGACCTACCTGGTGGTCAACTGTGGTGGCATAGGCTCGTTGGATGGTGCGCGCCCGCACGCCCACCATGCCCACCGTCGGCCGAGGGAGAGGAGACGTTGCCGGATCTGGGGAGGGTCAGCGGCTTGCTTGGATCTCGTCGAGGTGGGGGAGAGGGCTACCGGATCCGTGGGCGTTGGTCGCTCCCGGTGGCTGAGGATGCCGGGGGTGGGGAGAGGGGTGCCGCCGGGTGGGGGAGCGGGTGGGGGAGGAGGGCGCCGGGGTAGGAGAGCGCCATGGCCACGCGTTAGGGTACGCGTGGGGCGCGAGCGCGGAAGGGAGGAGGATGCGAGGGACTGGGTGCGGGAGTGAGCTAGTGAGACATCCGTCTGTTCCGGACGTCTTAACTGGAGCATTATCGAAAAAAAGAAATAAATTGTTCAAATTTAACCAAGTATCTTTCTAGAAAAAAATATAACTTAAAAATACTAAAATCTGATTTAACCCTAGAAAATTTATAGAAAAGTTGTTTTAACTTAGAAAGGTATGAATTTGGTTTCATATTTTTCTCTAAAATCATGCTCTATGTTTTTGTGAGCTAGGCACGGCCTAGAAGCTAGCATGAATCGGTCCTGGAGCTGCCGAGCTGGTACCTGCGTGTGTCCCGAACTCCTGATTGGTATAGCTCTAAATGGCTCCAACTCCTCTGTACAATGTCACAAGAAACTTTTTTCTCTCTTTTCTCAAATAAACTAGAAGCCATTGCTTCACCAACTCTGGCTCCACACACTTAGCATGTTCGCTTGTTGGTTTCAGCCAGCCCAAATCAGCCAGCCAACAGTATTTTTCTCTCACAAAAAACCAGCACCAGCCAGCCTAAACCAACACCAACCAGCGAACAGGCCCACTAGCAAGAAACTGGAGTTGTCTGAAACCGTACCAAACAAGACCTTATAATCGGTCCCTGCTCCTCTCCCTTCATTACAGATTTACAGTGATCAGTGGTGCCTCAACCTCTATTTTCCCAAAGCAAAATTTTCTATTGAGTCAACATCGGTTGAAAGTATATAAAAAAACCCCTTGGGAACATGAATTTTGGCAAAGAAAAAGAGTTTGCTAAAGTCATATGTACAACGATGTTATCCAAATCCCTCCCAAAATATTGGATTATCCAAGATTGACGGTGAAGACTGCACGGTGATGCTTTGCCAATTGCTACAGAAATCAGAATGGATATACATTTACCCAAGGAAGTCAAGCAATCTCCGCGTAAATACTATTGTCAAAAATGGAATTTTCCGCTTGCTATTTACAG